CGTTGAAATCTAGTCCAAAAATTAGAAGTGAATCGAGAGTCGCGATCCGGGATAATATTCACTAGTACACCGTGTCGCGTGACAACTTCATCAATATACAACCGCACCTATCGATCCATAGAGTAAGACTCTCGGACAGGTAAGAACAATGCAGATTTGATCAACCGATCAACTACAACCCAATTACTATCGTGTTGTAGTTGGGTCTTCGGTAGTTTAGTAACCAGATCCATCGTTAATTCCTCCCATTTCCACATCGGTACCTCAAGAGGCTATAAACTACCATACGGTGCTTGGTGTTCAGCCTTTACTTGTAAACATGTGGTACAATTCTCGACATAACATCCAATATCAGTCTTCATCCTAGGCCACCAGTAATCTAAACGAAGATCTTGGTACATTTTGGTATTTCCTAGGTGTATCGACAATCGCGACTTATGTGCTTCCGCTAAAACAATATCTCGCATGCCGCCATGTTTGGGGACCCAGATTTGGGTCTTAAAGACCTTCAAGCCACGTCCATCTTCAGAGAGAGAATCAATGTACCCTATCATTCGTTATACTTTAAGATTCTCAGGCTTCAAAGCCTCAATCTGCCATTTCCGAATATCATCAAATAGATTATATTTAACCGACGTGTGAATGATAGAGTAGCATAGAAGTCCAAAATGCGTCTTCCTACTTAGAGCATCTGCCACTACATTGGCTTTACCTGGATGATAAAGTATCTCACATTCGTAATCTTTGATGAGTTCCATAGCACGTTGTTGACGCATGTTCAAGGTCTGTTGATCAAAATAAATACTTTAAGCTCTTGTGGTCAGTATAAAGTTGACACTTCGTACCATAGAGATAGTGTCGCCAAAGCTTTAAAGCAAAGACCACTGCTGCTAATTCAAGATCATGAGTAAGGTAGTTCTTCTCATAATCTTTCAGTTGGCGAGAAGCATAAGCAATCACCTTGCCTCGTTGCATCAAGACACATTCAAGCCTAAGTCGAGATGCATCACTATACACTATAAAGTCTTCGTTATCCTCAGGTAGAGCAAGTATAGGTGCGTGTGTCAGACATTCCTTTAAAGTTTGAAATGCTCGATCTTGAGCCTCATTCCATTCAAATTTAGCATCTTTACGAGTCAAAGAGGTTAATGGTACTGCGATCTTAGAGAAGTCCTTGATAAATCGTCGATAGTACCCTGTCAGACCCAAAAAACTATGTACTTCCGAAGCGTTGTTTGGCTGCTCCCATTCTGGAATTGCTTCGATCTTCACTGGGTCTACAGAAATACCGTCTACGAATAYGGTATGCCCCAAGAATTGTACTTGGGAAAGCCATAATTCATATTTCGAGAATTTTGCATAGAGTCGTTCTTTTCTCAACAATTCTAGCATTTGACGTAAGTGTGTAGCGTGTTCATTTTCGGACTTTGAATAAACCAAAATATCATCGATGAATACGTTCACAGACTTGTCGAGCATAGGATAGTGGTCGGTCAAATCCTTTACCTTTAGACTTAATAAAATTGGGCCACAAAGCAAGTATACAATACGGCCCAATGTCGTCTTTCCAAGTAATAAAGTGGTACAAGTACCGGAATATCGTCCACAGGGATTGGAGCAAAAGTTAAATAAGAGTCCAATAAAAGAAAAGATTTCAAATAACGATGACGAAGACTTTAGTTTGATTTCGAGTTAACACAAGTAAAATAACAGAATAATAAAGCAGAATAATAAAGCAGAGTAATAAAGCTGAATAATAAAGATAGCACGGGTGTAAGATTTTGGGGTGAAATGTAAACACGAAATCCAGCAGACAAAGCTGTGGAAGAACCAGTCCAACCATTTATCTTGAAGGTATTCCTCTCGGACTTCACCTTTGCACTATATTATAGCTTTGCAYCCATATCTCTATGTGGTGTTCAGACCAGGGATAGTGACAAAATGGTGTCTTCAAGATATATGGCTAAACAAATCTCTTTGTTAAAAATCACTCTTTCGAG